TGCTTTGCCTGCCGAGTGCTCCAAGCCAGGAGCACGGCTACACTGGGCAGTCCCGTCCCGTCCCGTCCACCTCCCAGGGCTCTGGCAGCCCCAGCGCTCCCCGCTGCTGCAGGGGGACCCCCGTGTTCAGGAGGGCACCGGGCCCGCAGCACCCCGAGGGGCCCCGCGCGGCTGCCGGCACGGCACAGGAGGATGCAAGGCAGGGAAAAGCTGGCACCAGTGCTGCCCTGGGGAAGCCTCCCGGGAAAAGGGCAGGCAGAGGGGGAACATACCCGCAGCCAGCCAGCCCAGAGGGATGCTGCTCTCAGCACGAGGGCTTTAACCACCTGGGCTGTGCAGCAGGGCCTTGGCGAGGCTTACAGGACTGTAGAGCGAGGAGCACACTCAGAGCAGATGCTTTTACCTACCGTGATGTTAAGACCTTTACTGGGGGATCTGACCCGCTGGAAGTGAAGGGGCCGCAGGCAGCAGCGATGGGCTGGCTGCACCCTGCGCCCGTGGCTGGTAACCTCAGCCAAGTGACTACATTGAGGTCAGACAAATAAACCCGTATGGGGAAAACTGCTGGGAGAATCCCCAAAAACCACAGAGACCCAAACTGGACCTCTCCTCCTTGTACCCGACTCGGTTACAGTAACCGGCATCGTCCTGCCCTGCAAAAATCCCAAGGTTTCTCAACAGCTCCGTCCCCGTACAAGACCCCAAGCCACCCACCCGCCAGCCACAGCATCGGCAGGGGCCCCCCCAAAGCTGGGCCCCTGGCCAGGCAGAGCAAGCGTGCCGGTGATCGCCCTGTTCCCGTTTTTAATTGGCGTTGGCTCCCTGCACACGGAATCGACGCCGCTGAAGCGCTCGCAAAAAGCCTCCGGGTTGGATTTCAGCACGTGCCCTGGCTCGCTGCCCACCCGAAACCCCCACGGATGCTCACAGCACATCCCAAAGCCAGAGGACTCGTACCCTTGTCACAGGAGCCGGCCCAGCCCAGTGCCAGGGACAGCGGCTCGCACCGAACCTCACCGAAACAAGCCCTGCCCCGAGGGTCCTGGTCACACCTCAGCATCACACTTGCTGCCCCATGCCACCCCTTGCGCACCCGGGCCCACGGCACAGACAGACACGCTGCACGAGCTACTGGGAATCGAGCTTCAAATTAAGCCTGAGCCGCACACAGAGCGATCCCCCAGCAAAGGCTCAGTGCTCAATACTTAAGGACTTAGAGGTTTCATCGCTGTAATTAACCTTAATCTTTAATTTATAGGGCATGGGGAAACAAGCCAGATGCTGTAACTGTTTTATCCAATTACCAATACAAACCCCGGATCCCGGGAAGGGGACAGGTTCATTAGTGGAGCAGCTCTGTGCTCCGTGGGTGCATGCAGTGCTCTGGGGTGGACACGCAGCCGGCCTCCCCGTGCCCCTGTCCCTGCCTGCAGAGCAGCCACGCTGCCTGCCCACCACCCTCCGGTCAGGGAACCACGCGAACCTTTATGGGCAGCAGCTTCTGGCCGGGCTCGGGCAGTAATGGGAGCAGGAGAACCAGCTTCCCCCTCCCAAAGGCAGCCCCCCGCCCCCCCTGCCAGCCCAAGCCGTGCTCTCCTGCCCTGCACGGCAGAAGTCAGCCCAGGCACCCCATCAGCCCTGCCTCGTGCTCCCCCCAGAGGGACCCAGGCTTAAACCAGGCTTAAAC